TTAGCGAGTGTCAATTATCAATTGCAGATGTCTTTTAGTCGGCAAGTGTGATGCCTTAAATACATCTGAGATTTTTAGATCAACTGTCACTTTTTATAAAATGTGAAGTACGTGGTATTACGAGTGTATAATTGCGACAAGCGTGTAAAACTTTCTAATTTTCGTAAAAGTGTAAGTATAGCTAGAAAGTTCGTCAACCCCGTAGTTACTAACCTGTGTAACTTCACTATGGATAGTGAACATTTTTCTGAAACGTCGAATGTGAAATTTGTTGGAAACGACGAGAGATTTAAGCAAAAGGCACAAGCACAGACTTTACTACTGTCGACAGCGTCGACGACTGTTGCAAACTCTCTCTTGCACGTGCACGATACACGTACACATTTAAACTTTACTCGTGCATGATTATCTAGATACGAATTTTTAAAAGTGGCTATTTTAAAAGTAATGAGCTTTAAGTATATCCGCTGCTATTATATACCTTCCTTTTCGATAAACTATAATGTTTGTAGTAAATATGTATCAGATCAAATATGATAAATCACGTATTTTTGATATTCGAATTGAATTAAAATACACAAATCGGCGGTATATATTTGATAAGAGCGCCATCTAGGTATTGTTTCAAAAATATCGTGTCAGAGGGCGCCACTGGCTCAAACATTCAGTTTTATATTTTATTTGCTTATTTCTTGAGAAATCCAAAATAATACCGTGGTATTTGATCTTTCTGATGAAATTTATGCGGTACTTGTAGTTAAAAAGAGGTAAGAATTTTATTGTCAAATTTTATTTGAACATAATCTATTGTTTGAAATGATATGAAATTTATTACATGTATGTACAAATACTTTTGTATTTATGAAAAATGTATTGTATAAAAAAAACATAGCAACGCATGGAGCAAAATAAAACTGAAGTACAGTATCTTAATAAATTGAAAGTTGAGGATGTTTGGAAAGAATTTAATTGTCCAATATATGTTACCCACCTTTGTCCTAGAACTGACAAATTACCAAAAGAAATATTTGAATTTGATGAACAATTAAAATTGGATACCAATTGCATTCTACAAAAATTAGATAAACTCATATCTGATTCTATAACAAGCAATAGTGTAATTCGCATATGTAAACTTTTATATGATTACCTTAGCGAAGTAGGAGACAATGGTTATGTATCCTTTAATGAACATAATTTTGGTATATACTACAAGTTATTTTATTACCTATGTGAAAGAAATTTCCTTATAAATTCTTAGAAAGTTAAAGATTTATCATTAATAATAAAAGTATTAAAATTTTTGGCCGAAAATGTTGATAGAGTTAAAGAATATGAGTTACATCTTGATAGAATGTTAGAGCTTTGTAATATACCACTTTTACTAGAGAAATCGTCTGAAAGTTTAATTCATGAAGATACAATCGAACAATATTTTACATTGTTGGGACACCTTCTTGTAATTTTACCAACAAAAAAGCAAGCATTAAAAGTTCATAAAGTACTTCATTCTTTGTTATTAAAAACACAAAAAAAAAATGTTTCTGCGATACAATTTGAGCATTATCGTAAAGCTGTGGAAAAATCAAAGTTACCACTAACTGTGGTTGGATTACTAGAAGCTTCTACTACAGAAACATATCCAAAAACTTTAGAACTAGTTTTCTTACTTTCATCCATCTCTTATAAATGTTGTATGTACTCAATGTAGAAATCAATATTTTAAATAGAAGAATAAATATTTAAGGAACCATATTTTTTATTATGTTAAAATTTTCATAACATTAAATAAAGGTCATAGAATGTTGGAAGCTAATGTACTCAATGTTATACTTAGAAGAATGGATCTTCCTTACGCAATTCAATTACATTGCACACGGCCACCTGACTTAATATTAAATGGGAGTGAATATAGTGATGAAACAACTCTTTTGATAATGAACACTCTGTGGAGCTTGATGAAATCTATTATTTTCCCTAATAATATGCCAACTAATTTAAAAGAAAATTTGACATCAACCCATTGTGTCTTGTGGTAATTTATTTAATTTTGTATTAAAATGTATATTAAAAAAAAAAAAATTTATATTATACAGGGGTCTATGTTACGCTTTTAAGCGGCAGATATATTACAGCCAATACAGAAAGTTTAATACAAAGATTAGAAATGAAATTGCCATGATTATTCTTATAATTTCAATTACTTTACCCTCTTGGAACCTTGTTGGTGGTGGTATAGCTGATGCTGTTATTAAATATTTAGTTGGAATTGAATCTGGATCTGTTAGAATATTTGCAGACATAATAAAATTTGACAGAACTATGGATAATTTACATTTTGAAAAAATTTTATTATTAATTGTCACACATTTAGCAGAAGTTGATGCTTGTATTTTTGTAATTACTTTTTCAAATTACATATTACATATAAGAAATTACATATTATATATAAGAAACTCTAAAGAATATATTAATGTCATGATGCTTACTTATAATAGTTAATGATAAAATGGAAACTGATGCAAACTATACTTCAAATTGTTAATCCAAATATTGAAGAAACAAAAGTCACTTGGAATGCATCTCAATTTTGGGATTTATGGATATATGCTGTAAATGCTTTGTCTGTATTAGCACCAAAAATGCCACAACAATTTGTGGAATATTATGGTGGTATTAGGTAGTTCAAAGTTCAAATAAATATAAATCTTCTTCATTTTTATGATACAAAATAAATAGAAATATTTTACAGATTATATACAATGCTAGAATGGTGTTTAAACACAAAATTTGATATAAAAATAATAATGACTTGTGTAAAAACAATTTGCCTAATTATTCTGAGTGACAATAAATATTTACTGGAATATTTACGAGAGTGTGGAATTATATTATTGTTAATTAGTCAGTTTTTTATCTATTTATACTTACTGCAAAATTTTATTACTTTTTAATTCTACATTAAATAATAATTCTTTATGTTTGCATTATAGAAGTTATTAAGTATACTTTGAAATTTGATAAACTTAAAGCAAAAGAACAACGTGTGTTAACATTGGCATTAATATCAATTGAAAGACTCATGAAAAGACAAAAATTTTTTCAACAAATGTATGGGGAGCACAGTATTATATCTATTATGGAATTACTATTTCGTTGTATATATCAAAAAGATGATGAATTTCAACTGGATCAACGGTAATATACATGTACAACAGCAAAATGAAAATATATAATTATTATCATATAAAAAATTTTATTAGCCTTTTACTAGCAATAGGTTCATATATTTGGGAATGTATAATATGGTGTCCTGAAATACTTGAAAAATTTATTCGATACGGTGGAGTATATATTATCCTTGATATTATTGAAATTGTTCCATATTGCACTCGTTGTTTATTTCTCGCTCTTTTTACCGATATGTGCGATAATATCTTTTGTGGACCATTCTTATGTACTTGGAGAGGTATTGATAAAAGAATGGGATTAATGTCTTTGTTAGCAAAAATGTGGAGAGAAGAAGAAATACGGATTAAAGCTAAGAGAAATGTGAATGGCACTATCAAAGGCAAACAATAATATAACTTTAGCTAGTGACATTTTTATAATAACTTGACTACATTGTTAACACTATCTATTAGATGTAGAATTGTCTGAAATGGGTAGAAAGCAATGGTTAGATACTTATTGCAAAAAACTAGCTAGAGATAGGAGTCCAGCCATAATTGACATGATTGGCTCAGTTAGATCAAAAATATATAGTATTTTCAAAATAATTGAAAGAGATAATGAAAAGTATAAAATGGCCAAAGAACATTACAAAATATTATACGCTAATCTTTCAATTGAAGATAGAGTAAGTTATACAAAAATATCTATTGAATCTTACCCTGTACCTAATATTTGATATGACTTGCATCACATATCTTTTTCAGATTACAATATCTACTATAGAATTGTATTTTACACTGAAATTAGGTCAAGTATGGATAGAGGTTGCTAAATACTTTGAACAGGTTGGTATTACTCCTCTTGGTATGGATGGTCAAGCACTTTTTTTGATGAATCAACGTTATTCTTTGTGGGGTGAAATAATAAAAGAAAGACAAGCGAGGATAATAAAATCTGTAAAAAGGGAGGAAGAGATAGAAGAAAAAGATGAATATGCAAGAATTCGTGATTCAAAGCTTATTTTAGCATTAGATGCATTTGATGAATTAGATTACGTACATAGAACAACAAATAGATCATATAGGATAAAGAAAAAATATGAACAAATACAACAGGTTAATTTAGCTTTAAAATTTCCATATAAATCAGATGATTCACATTGTCATAGGACATTCCAAGATAAACTAATGGTTACGGTAAATATAAAATATCTTTATTTGAGTTTTCAATGTTATTTTCTCACTACTCTTCTCTTCAAAATATATTTAAATATCAATATCTTTATATAGACTATATTTAATCAACATCAAACAGTGAGTACTGGTTTGACGTTAGATCCACATTTAAATCAAATGAAACTTGGGAGAATTCACCTTATTTCTCCTTGTGATTCCTATATTTCTGATACGACATGCGATTCTGAACTATATCCGGCTTCTTTATCAAGCATCTGTCTGTCCAATATAGAAAAGTTCCTAGAGAATGAATAATTCTCAATAATTTAAAATAATAAAGTAAATTTCACCTCAATAAACTACATTATCATCGTTTGAGATTACAGAAATCTTCATTGCCGAGATAATGTAAATGTAATTGTTCCCGTATTTTGAAACATTTTTGACAATAAAAATTCGAACGTTGTTAAAAAAAAATCAATTTTCTGTTTTTATCAAACGAAGAATGAGATTTGAGATGAGACATTCACATAGTTCATTGTTTCCTTTTTATTATCAATATTCATCTCAATTCATTTCATCAACGTGTAATAACATAAAATGTATCGTAAATAAAAAAGTCTCAACAAAATCGACAGAGTCGAAAGTATTTACGGTAAGTTACATTGAAGAAAAGTATCAGAGAATTAGCAACGGCTTGATTGGCTCCACCATTATCTGAACTTGAGATTCATTATTATCTAGATAACGTAACGGAAACTCTGGCAGGAGAGCGGACGAAGAATGCGGCGGCAAGCCAGTGAGAGCCAACATGCCGTTCCCGCCGCAAGCGATTGTCGTTGTCGTCCTCGTCCGTCCGATACCGGTTTAAAGACGTGTCGGAACCAAGTCCACTACGACTGCTTGTCTCGCGTTCTCGTGCCTGTTCGTGAAGGAAATACGCAAATCATCGTAGAGAAACCGCGTGTTCGCGTTCAAACAATTGTCGCGACGTGAAGAATCCTTCCTTTCGATGACATTCATGAACAACGCGGTGAACGTTCATGCAAGACGAACCGTGAATCGTATCCTCGATTACAATTTCCCGAACGTCTCGTCCGTTTTCCTTCGCTAGCGGATTATTTTACCTCGCTTCCGTCGTTTGATCTGTCGGTGTTCCCGTCTTTATCTCTCTTGTTTCTTGTTTCGTCTTCGTCGTTTCCCATATCCCCTCTCTCTGTTTCGTCCTTCCGTCATCGTCCGATCGGCCGCGGGGGGCAGACGGGACACGAAGCGCACGGATTTATATTCGTGTAGCGTAGGAGAAGTTTAGCAGCTTCGTAAATATGGCGTGTGAACGGTGGTGCTTTAACCGTGGCTGTGACAAAGCTGTTCAACGATGGCTTTACATCCTGTTGCTGGCTCTCTGCGCGTTCGGACATCTCGGTTCGAGCCTTGCGGACAACGAGCTCGGTGAGTTTTCAACTTGTTGCACCTCTGTCACCTTCTATTTCGCGACTTGCGCTCTCTCTCTCTCTCTCTCTCTCTCTCTC